TTCAGTTTATCACTGATTTCCTTACTGCTAGTATTGATATTCCGAACTATGCTGATGTCATTTTTATTCGCTTTCTTGTTGTTCTTATGCAAGTCCTTATTTATTAGGTCGTTGTATTCTTTGTGGTTTTTTTTTATAAAAGTTTCCAGTTTTGTCGGATTTTACTAAAATTTTATCTGTAGCGTTAATGTCTTTACTATAATATTAATGCTCTGTAAATTTACATTGAGCACTGTTTTGTAAAAATAAAAATATCTATAAGAACAGTGGATTATACATCTTACTGTTCTTTCTTTTTATTTATGCATACATACATATATATATTTCTTTAAAACAAATCGAGTTCCCCCAGTCACTGGCGTGTTTATCTAAAAATAAATACGTCTAAATTCACGTTCGTCCCTGTCATGCGTCAATGGATGATAAATTATATAAAAACTGTCCGAATGTTCTTTTTATCTGAGCGCTTTCTGCTATACATTTAGCCATTTTCAAGGAGGAAAGTTTTAACTGTTAAAATAAGAAATAGTTTGTTGTACGTATGTTTTATGAACTGTTTTCATTTTTCAAAACACAGTCATGATATTATGTCCATGTTCAAAGTTAATATTATTAAGTGTTGCTTTGTTTGTTTTTATTAATAAGGCTTCCATTATTTTTAGCCTTTTTTGGCATGTAGATAATGCTATTATATTAGTGTTGTCAACAAGTATGATACGAATAGTGTCCGGTAGGTCTCCATGAATATTTAAATGAGATTGAGCTATTGTTAGAAAGGTGTGTCAAACATGTAGTATGGCCTATATAATTATTTACGAGTTTTGATTGATCAGGAATACAATTCCTTAATGAGCATTTAAATTCGTAAATAATATTTGCCCTATTTAATTTTGTTCTAGGAGGTGAATTATTATTTTAAATATAAGGTTAGAGCTTTTAAATTTTTTGTAATAAATACTTAATCTAATTATTTTGCTATTGTCAACTGGTGTTATGCATTTTTCAAAAATGTTCTTAATTCTACTTTCGTCTTGTTTATAATTTTCGTTCATTTGATTTTTATAAAAAATATTAATGTTATTGTTTCTATTATCGCCGTTGCTATTAGACAGGAAACGCCTAATGTGGAAATCCAACACCTGATTAGGAAATCCGTTATTAATCAGCATTTGCTTTTAATTCTTTAAAGAAAAGCGTGCAAGAGGATGAGTTCTCGTGCACTCTCGTGAGGAAATTTTTAATAACACCTATTCTATATCTAAGAGGGCATTCACTAGAGAAATTAAGATGGCAAGAGTCTTTACTAGTTGTTTTTTTATAAACAGAAGTTTTAAAAGTATTATTACTAAAATCAACGAGAACATCTAAGAAAGGGAGTTTATTTTTTTTTTATATTTTTTTTCACTAAGTTCATAAATAAAATTTAGGACGGAATTTTGTTGAAATGTAGATTTCAGATTTTCTATTTCTTTCTTGTTTTCAGTTAAAATAAATATATCGTCTACATAATGAACATATATTTTAGGGTTTAATAACTTTAGTAAAACCTTGTTTTCAACATAGGACATATAATAATTGGAGAAGCACGGTCGAGAGGGTTTCCATACTTACATCAGTTTGTGTGTAAATAGTACCATTCTGGCTATAAAAGGAACTCTAGTGGTGCAAGAAAATAATAGTTTTAAAAAACATTGGGTTGGATTGATGGAGGTGGAATTAAATTATTTTTACACACACTGAATTAATGATAATATCAATAGTTTTCGGAGAAAGGGAAGTTAGAAATAAATTCTCTACGTCAAGTGACAAAGAATGTCTTGGTTTGTTTTTACTTTTGTGCATTTAAGTATTTGGAGGAATTCATGGATAGATTTAATGCTATAGTTAGTAGGGAGATATGGAGTAATAATATCATTGAGAAATTTTGATAGTTGGTATATGCATGTTGGAATCTGAGAAAGGATAGGTTGTAATGGGTATCCCGGTTTGTGTATTTTAACATTACCATATAAGTAGTCAGGTTGGTAACCTCCAATAATTTTGTTTATTTTTAAGGAACCTGGAACAGCATTGTTTATTAACATTTCTTTAGAGATTCAGTGGTGTTCTTATTCAATTTAGTAAATTCATGTATGTATGTGTGTGTGTGTGTGTGATGTCTCGTTATCGGGCTAGATTTGTGTAGTCTGTTGAGCACATTTCAGCAACCCTTGGAGTTTAGCGCCTCAAAAACGAAACTGCTTCTTTTTAATCATCTGAGAGAATCCTTTTTACCTTCTATAAGCATGGCTGATGCTAACCACCAGAAAAAGTGATCCATTGCGTCTTCCCGGACTAAAGTTTTTCAGTAAACATGAAGTGGAAATAGTATATTGAATTAATTGCTATGTCTGCAGCTAAGAAAGTTCGTTATGTTACGGGAAAAGGACTGAAGCCGAGATGCCAGGTCAGGATCAATAACATTGCAGATTCTTTTGATTTTATCAAGAATCTCTAAATATATAGCATGAAGCACCACACCATATGTGGCAACAATATTCAAAGTGAGGACGAATGGTAAACTTATAAATATGTAAGATAGATTCTAGCAAGAAAAATTGTTAAGCTCGACACAATGAATGAACTTTCTTACTGCAGATATAGCAATTAATTCAATATACTATTCTCTCAGATGATTAAAAAGAAGCAGTTTCGTTTTTGAGGCGCTAAAATTAACAAGCCATTACTTGCCCCATTTAACAACGGATTACAAACTTTCAAACAATATCGCTCAACATAAAAAAATAAGTGTTAGAAAAGCTGAATGAGGTCGGTTGGGTTAGCATCTGGATTTAGGGCATTGGTACACCCAAAAATGTAAAAAAAAAAAAAAAAATAATAATAATAATTAAATTCACGAATTGGCTATTTTGACGGTTCCGGTAAAAAGTACAGGAATGTTATTTTGCCGGTAAATATAAAAAGTGTTTTAGAATATACCGCAATTTGGGGTGGGGGGGTGCTGTAACAGCAAAATTGTCCAAATCGTGTAACAGCAAAATTGTCTAATTGTTAGATTGAGTTTGAACCACTGTATCTTAGAAACGATTAAAGATATCTTACTGGAATTCTCCGATGGTTTTTATAATACTATTAGCCTCTACTTTGAGAAATAAGAATGTATAATTATTCTTCAAAAAGTATATATATATATATATATATATATATATATATATATATATAATGTGTGTGTGTGTGTGACGTCATATCCCCGTGTCGCTGCGCCAAATGTGACGTCTGCTTGGTCGCGTCCGCTGTGCTGTCCTGGTCGCGGCGCCAATTGTGACGTCAACCCTGTCTGTCTTCTGCGCTGTCGCCGTCCCATCCTGTCCTGTGACGACCAATGTGACTTGATATTGGTCGTGGCACCAAATGTGACGTTCTAACCTTTGCTGATTCGGATGGGGAATTGGTTAGATCCGGTATCAGCCTTGTTGTTCCCAGCTCGCCTCCAACATCTGGTTACCGAAGTAACTGTTTTGATTTCTAGTCTAACCTACCCACGTTGTGATTTGATCTTAGGTAGACGAAATCAATCAGTCGCTGGGTCGTAATGCAAGTCGAGTCCGAACAAGGGTAACACCGCACAAGTATATGTAAAAGAAAATAAAGTAACAACTCGAAAAGTTCAAATTTGTTAAAAAAAGGATAACAATGTTTTATATCTGGTTGTTGAATACAGGACTGCGTCTTCCTCCCAAACCGCTAATATGGATTCGTGACACTGTGTTTGTTAGGCGAGTCTTAACATCTTAAATTGTTTGTTCTTTAAGAAACTGGTTCTTGGTGTATCTTCAGGCGATATTCGTAAAACTTGTTTTGGTGGTGTGATTCTAAGTCATTCTTCAAAAATAAATTGTTCTTGGTTAGAAGTTGAGGTCGTGATTGGGTGGATCTTAAGTCAGCTTTCTGCGAGGCAGGTCTTCAGAGCTCACAGCTCAACTGCACACTGCCGTCCACTCGCTGCAACTCTGCTTATAAGGACGCCGACCAAAACCGGGTGGCCTGTCAGGTTCCTTTGATAATTCTAAATCCGCATCAAGGATTTCCTTTGTTTTCAGTCAGGAAAATTTTTTTCCATTTTTTGGAAGTCTTTAATTCTAGTTTAAGGGAATCGTCCTTCCAAATTCTTCCTTTCTCATGTTGGTATCTCATACCAATCTCTTCAGAGGCGTTAACAGGTTTCCCCTCTCTCTCACAGTGGCATCTCACAGCGATTCCTTCAGGGGGCGTCAACAGGCCTCCCCGGCTTCTTCACATAATTACCTTATCCCACCGTTCACGCCACCCTTCATCCAATGAACACTCAACATCGTGGGTGTTTGCAATTATCGCTCAAAGGAAAAAAAAATTATCTTCCCTTTTTTCTTTCTTTTCTTCTTCCCGACAACAAATCCTTGCGACTTATCTTAACCGAACTCCGTCTGGAGTTCGTCAATGAGATTTTCGCCAGCATCAAGTGGGTGGTCATCTGGCGACTTTGCACCCTGGTGCCAATTATTCGTTCCGATAAAATAATTTTTTATCATGGCCAGTTCTCCGACACAAAACAAGTGCTCTCTCTCAAATGATATGGGGTGGTCCAGGGACATTTTTTCTCGGTCAGAGCGCCTTGACCCACTGTATTATCTCTTAGCACTCTGTCCTGTAGGCCACTCGGCTAATTTGAAACTTTCATTGCCATGGGCAGATGGCTATATCTTATTCGCCGCCCCGTAACATAAATCAAATTAAATCCGGTATCTTTCTTCGCTAATGAAAATAAAATCTTTAGACAATTGCGTACCTCTGATAATTTTTGAAGCTTTTAAATGCAATTACCATAAATTTTGAAAAAAAAGCATGTGTAAGAATCATAAATTTTTTAAAAAGGAATAAAATAAAAAAATTAAATGTTTATTTTTGTTTAAAATGCAATGACAGTTTAAAAGTATTGCAAGATCGCTCTACACATCGCCATTATGTTTTTGTTTCATCAGCGTTTTTCTTATGATAGTGAGAGCCGTAATTTTCCTCGTCCACAAATATTTTTCCACCAGGGTTTGATTTTCGGAACTTAGCCATGGGTTCCAAATAAAAATATAATCTATAAAATCCAGAATCTATTAGATGTTTGTTCCACGCACTGCTGGATTGAACTGAAACTGCTAGCTTAATTTTCTCTTGCCTTAAAAATTTTTTTAATCGTAACTACCTTTCTTCTTGCTTAGAGTAATTAAAAGTATTTGCGTGCAAATTTCTATATCAAACAACTCTTAAAAATGGTAACTTCAAAAAATTATCAGAGGTACGCAATTATCCAGGTACGCATTTATTTAGGGACGTAAATGTTCAGGGACGCAATTGTCTGGTATACAGTTGTCTGGGACGCAAATGTCCAGTATGCAACTGACCGTCCACCGACAAACAAACTAGCCTTTTTCTAAAATTTAAAGCTAAGCACCAATGTATCTTCAAGAGATAGAATTCTAATCAGAATTTTCTTGTATGTCTTCTCCTCCATTGACTTCATCAATCACACTATTATTAGTTTGAAAAAGTCCTTTCGAGAGACGAAAAGCTTATCAGGCGTTTTTTTTAGTATTTTGTTATTCAATTATTCCCCCCACCACACCACCACATGATAGCACAAATCAATAACATATATCAAAATCCGTAAAATTAATAGAATTCAAGACAGACAGAATATTTGTCAAAAAAGTGCTCAATAATAGCTAATAAATTAATAAAGGCTCAAATGACTTATCTTTTGACCGACTTCAGAGTTTCGTAGACACAACACTCATCAGACTATATTTAAACAGTAAGGTTTCCTTGGTTGTGTGTTGTGGTGTTGTGGACATCGGCTCGGAATGAGAAATCGGAGGGCAGAGTTCGAATTCCACTTGGGTTCGTTATATTCACACACGCAAATACACCTGGGGAAACGTTTACGATCTTTTCTCTCGCCTATGGGTTGAATAACTGGGAAGATTTGGTTCTATAACCTTGACTGGCAACCAGTCTACCACAGAAAGAAACAGCAACCTAGTGCGTGAAGAAAGTCTCTGCCTAGTCAGTCATGAATAGAAAGAGACATGATTGGCTAAGCGTATATCATTGACTGAAGATTTCTTTTAATATAAAAAAGGTTTTGCTAATTTATATTATTCGGACATTACCCTTATTTGTTACAACGTTTTGGACGTTGTACGCTCTGGCCTTCTTCAGGTGGCTGGAATGTCGATCTGAACCCTTTATTTTTTTTTACCAGTGCTCATATTGCAAATTTTTCTGTTATTATCAATTGCAATATGAGTATTGGTAAAAATTGTTGCTGAAGACATTAGGTTTATAATAACCAGAAATTCATACACAGATGTCCTCAAGGACACATGGCACATTGGATAAAGGCGTTAGTTAGATCCAGTGACAGGACCCAAAGAGTGCGAGTTCAATACCCGGTTAAGGCAGAGAGGTGAATTAAGAGGAGATAACTGATAACTGACATCCATTAAACATGGCATGTGGAACTAGAACAGTTAGCGAAATAAATTCTTCTGAAGAAGGCCGGAGCGTACAACGGCCGAAACGTTGTAATAAATATGGCGACAAATATGAAGATAATAGTCCGAATAATGTAAATAGTGTACATAATATCTCATCACAGAAATGTAGACAGTTACGTTTTGCTAAATTCAACCGACAAGGTTGGGGGGGTGTTCATCATTATTGTAGTTTTCTATTTTTTTTTTTTTTTTTAGTATTTAGCCATCAGTAATCCTGTCTACTATATTGACAACATTTCATCTACGTGTCGTAACCATTCAGGACGTTGGTGGACATGGCTCTCTCAATTTCTTGTCCCTTGTAGCTCTTAATAGCGTTTGTCTTTTTTTTTGCTATATCTCCATTTATTCAAGCTCGCTGGGTAGGTCCTGTATTGCTTTTCTTTATCTCTCTTACTTTCAAGCTGTCCTCTGAGTTCGTAATAATGACGGAAATTGTCGAAAGTCCTCGAACAAAAGCAGAACAAAAAACAGGAACTCTTGATTATTTGAACATACTCTTGATTTATATATACAAGGTATTCAAAAATTGATAAGATAAAATTAAAAAAAAAAAAGAAGGAAAAAAATGACAGTCTTTGTATAAATGCGTCTAAATTCACGTTCGTCCCTGTCATGTCTTTGTAAACTTGTATAAATGTATAGAATCTTGATATATGACCTTAGCATTCAGAAAATGTTTACGGATGCCATATTCTTTAGTGAAACACCATCGTATGCTTTTATCTCTTTAGAATCTCTTTAGAATTGCGGGCCTTTACATTGCACACAGTTATATGCCTCTCCCTATTGGCGAAAGATAAATATTCACCCACGTATATTTTTAAGTACATATTTTGATAAATCTCAATATTATTACAAACAGATGCGTTTTGTCTGTAGGGATTATGATAAACTTAAAAGAGGGCCCACCCTTTCTCTCTCTGTCCACACACAAACACAAGTAGGTGTATTTTTGTCTATCTCAGTCTGTTCACATCTATCTACCTATTTATCTCTTTTTCATTCTATTCATATCTATTTATCTAACTAGCTAGATAGTTAGCTATGTCAGCATCTTCATGTCAACCTCTTCGTAACTATTCATCTACCTATGTCAACCTCTTCGTAACTATCTATCTACCTATGTCAACCCCTATCTATGTAACTTTGTATCTATCTACCTATATCAACCCTTTATAACTATCTATCATTCATCTTTGCATCTTATCCATATCAACCTCTAAAGATATCAATTTTTTTTCATTAAGAAACCTCTTTGTTCATCTATCTAATGAACTTAACTATCTTATCTATCTATTCAATATCAACCTAGTTTGTATCTATCTATCTATATCAACCTCTTTGTATCTATCTATCTATATCAACCTCTTTGTATCTATCTATCTATATAACCTAATCTATCTATCTACTAATCTTTGCATAGCACTCTCTTCTACATGTTTGTATCTATCTATTCATAAACCCTGAATGTGGAATGAAGGTCTGACATTGATCTCTCTTGCCTTTGTTTGTCTTCTTGATCACCATCAGTTGGTTTCAACTTTTCCTGGCCTTTGGGGAGATAACCTGAACAGCATGGAACCACAGCCACAAAATAGCGCTGTATCCGACATGACGAGGTTAAGTAAATGGAAGGCAGAACAGGAGTTAGGAGAACTAGCAAAAAGACAAAAATTTACTAAACCTACAAAGGACAGGAAATTGTGAAGAGCCATGATCGTCAACGTCTTACACAGCACATAGACGACGAAGAAGGCGGCACACTATATTTATTTAGCATATTTAAAGTTCGTAAATATATGTTCATTATCTATCTATGTCATCCTCTTCGTATCTATCTATCTCATCCCCTTCGTATCTATCTATATATGTTCTCTCTTAATAATGTTTTTCTTTTTATCACAATCTCTCACACTCAGTACACCCCCCCTCTTGCGTCTCAGTGGCTTTATTGTCTTGCTTGAGGTGAGTTGAATAAGAAATATACTATATTTGGAGGCAGTAGGCCAACATAGTGGGACAACCCAGTGTGAATCGGACGTAGTAAGGTTCAACTGGGACACGTAACGAGAAAGGAGGGTTTAGAAAATCTGATACCATGTTGCGGATTTTTTATGGAAATAGACGCCTGACATTCTTAACAGGGTTGTAAACAATTAGATGGCAGAAGAAGGTTCAGTGAGAAATAAGAAAAAAATCAAAGCTGATTCAGAAACAACAAAGGACAGAAGAAAATGGATGAACCTGATCGTCTTTTGCTCTCAAGGGACATGGCAATAAAAGACCATTGTTTCTTGTGAAGATTTACCTTCAATTGTCAGAAAGCAAAGCTTAATAATAAAAAAAAGAGGATCAATGCACGCTAAAATGCACCTTGTTTTATGTCACTGCAAAAGAGGATTGAAATTTCGACAAAGTGTAAAACCCTTTTTTTATTGGCAACGCGTTTCGTCTTCGTTAGCTAATTGAGTAGGCGTCTTCAAGTCAAAATGAAAAAAAAAATCTGAAATTAAAACCTGAAGACGCCTATTTAACTCACTGACGAAGACGAAACGCGTCGTCAATAAAAAGCTTTTTACGTCTGATGTAAATACCCCCCCACCTACAGACATGGAAATGGGAGAGGTCTATGTCAAAAGACAGCAAAATTATTATTAATTAAAGAATATCAAACACTTAATTTAAAGATGGGATTTATGTTTGATTTCTTTTAAGCACATATATATATATATATATATATATATATATATATATATATATATATATATATATATATATATATATATATATTAAATTATAAAGGAAAATAAGTATAAGAAACTATGGGTTCTCGAAAACATTTGCATTGATAAACAAACCAATACCCTTGGGGAAAAAGGTATATAAAAAAGAAAGAACTAAGAACATGTACGTTAGCCGAAAATAATCGTCCACCATGGCAAGTCCAAGGCCCAAAGAAAAAAAAACCTGATGAGTACAAAAATAACTAAATAAAGTGCTCAGTACAATAAATGATGGTGACTGCCTGGGAAAACCTAGAGAACCAGACAAACCTGATGTTTCACCTAATGTCGTCGGGAAGGCCTTCACTGACGATCCGTGGTTGAGTTAAATATTGAAAGGTCCAGGTTTAACTATATATCATATATATATTTGAGAAATATATATATATATATATATATATATATATGGATTATCAGAACTGTAACTATGAAACATTTTTTTTTAAATTGAATCCTAGAGGCCGTAGCCCAAAATGCCATTTGCTGAAATCAGACAGACTGCGACCAAATTAAAAACATTCCGGACACGCGATCCTGAAATTTGGGAAGTTTTCATTACTGAGATTGTTTTCGGTGATTTTTTGGGACAAAATTTTTTGAACGATAACAGTTTTTATAACTTGGAAATAAATTTGGGAGTAATTGAAATTAATTGCGAAATGCAGCAAAAATCCCCCATGAAATAAAAATAATTGTCTGTACGGAAAATAAAAGCCTACGTACATCAAAGTGTCTTTGAATAAAGTGACAGCAGAAGTATTATCGTTGAAATTTTTAAAAGGCAAGCTTAAATATTCAAGCAATACTTAAATGCAGCGATCAATTTTGAGTTCTTTAATTTATTGTTGCCATTCACAAAATCCAAATAGTCCCTACCTATTGCATTGAAGGTCCCAACCAAGAACCCTCCGTAACCACTTTCCACCACTGTAACAACAACACGGGAGCCTTTTCAGCTATTTTGATATATATATTTTTGATATATTTATATTTATATATATATTAATATATGCATAGTTCTTATATTGGCAGCTTTTATATTTCATTTTAGTATTATCTCTAAATATTGAAGTTCTATTTTATCCCATAAATTTAGCACATCCTCACCTAAGACTGTTCCATTGTCTTGATATATATATATATATATATATATATATATATATATATATCTTTTATATCCTTTCATCCTCAGTAATGCTTTCATAACAAAATTCATAAAAAGAAAAAGAAAAACCTATATTGCCTGCTTATATTCTAAAATATATAATAAACAATTTCAGCAAGGTCCCAGCTCTTCCGTGCGCATGTAGAAAAAATATCAATTGTAAATATCTCAATATTTATTGCTTTAAAAATACAATTATGGCACAAGGCCGAAAAAAAAGGGAGGAGTTGAGGCTGGTCAACACTAACTATCCTTATACCTAGCTAATCCGATTCACGACCCATTAATACACATTACAATTTTCATTCACCACAAGAACTCATCCATCACCAATCAATCACTCCAACCACCATAATACCACATTCCTCTAGGGAACCTACAAAACGCGCCCCAATCATAAAAATTTGATGATACATAAAAATATATATAAAATCTATGATGATAAATGAGAGGGAGAGATGTACCCAATAACAAACTAAAATATGAACACAAATCAAATTAAACATAACTGATGTTAGTAGGGCCCGTCCAACCCTCAAAACAGAGAGGCCGCTGTATTCTGCCCAGGGGGCAGAATCAAGAGGCGCTCTCGCTAAGGGAGTGGGAAAAGGATAAATAATCATATGGGCATGGGAAAATATAAAGCTGACCCAGTCGAGATAAAAGGGGGCCAAAAAGAAACTGGGGAGGTTGGGAATCTCAGGCTGGATCATAACCAAAGATGTGGCCGGGGGACAGGCCGGGAACAACACTTACTCATATTAACTAGATACATAAAAGCTTGTCTAACCTAACCAAGAGGAGGGCTCTACAGGAAACCACCCCGATATGATGTAGGCTTGACCTAAAAGAGAAAATCAAGGCTAGCCCTGTTCAAATGAACCAAACCCGCCTCAGTCACCCACCTTTCGCTAAAGACTTTCGAATGCAAGCGTTTTCTATCAGTTCTAATCTTCATTTTGGGCTGACGCTCAAAGAATCGAATTAGATCCTGATGAGAAAGACGGTTGACTCGCAAGACTTCCTCTTGTCGCGTCGTTCAAATCACTATTCGGGCCGTGGCTAGCAGCATTAGAAACACCATCCTTTTCACCCCAGAATACGGAGCGACACAGTCACACGCGTATGCGCGATCAATGGGCACGAGCTTTTCGGGAGCGATACGAGCCGTCAGCTCACCGACATGGTCCCATAAGGGGCGGACCAGAGGACAATGGTAAAAGGCGTGCGAAGCTGTTTCTTCTAAACCAAGGCCACACCGTTCACAGTCTGGCAAATCCGCCAAGTCTCATATGAAGGCCTTGACATTGAGAGTCAGCCTATTCCAAGCCAATCGCCAGGTAAGCGAAAACTCAGGGTTACTGAGATAATCCTCCGCTGGCGCCCAAGACCAGTAAGAGCGAAACTCCTCCCCCGACAAGTCGAGCTCCTCACGTAGGGTATCCTTCGCGAACCCCTCCACTAGAAGACGACAGAAGACCTTCCTAGGCCGAGAAAGTTCACTGGACCGATGAACAGCCAACAAGGCCGACCGACACTCGCGAAGGAAAACCGATTGATCCCGAGGTTTACGACGGCGCTTAACCCGATTGGGGGATTGATAGTAAGGCGGGGGAACGCGTCCCTCACAACCCCCTCCATAATCGGATCTCCACCTGTCAACGCGCGGCGTAGGAAAAGCCAACCTCGAGGCACGCCAGTGGCCTCCTGGCGTGGCATTCCCAGCCCCCCATGACACGGACGTTGTACAGACTCGTCTGTCGACCCGATTCCGCGTCCCCTCCATAAAGTGGAGGATAAAGAGCGCTCAAGCGCCTTCCGATGGCCTTTACAGAGAGGAAGTACGGACAATCGATAAAGGACAAAAGAGGGAAAATGTATGTACCACACACCTCCGCCCTGCCCTTCACGGACATCCTCCGTCGATGCCAAGTCCGACCGGCAGCATCGGCCTTTGCTCGTACTTCAGACAAATTTTTTTCCAGCTGGAGGTCGGGTCCAAACCACACTCCAAGAATGCGAACAGGACCGTCCGTCCAACCGAAGGGCCCCGGAAGATCGACCCCCTTCCAGGCATCTAACCGCAAGCCGGACGACTTGTCGCGGTTAATCTTGGCCCCGGGCACCTTTTCGTACTGATCAAGAGCCTTCAGTACCGCGTTAATGTCGCTGCGGGACGACACGAAAGCAGATACGTCATCGGCGTACGCAGAAACCATGGCTCGACCCCCTCCAGGAACGGCGATTCCGCGTAGAGCCGGACTGCATGCCCCGTCCTTCAGCCGGCGAATGAGAGGCTCCAACGCCAAAGCATAAAAGTAGGGGCGACAGTGGACAACCCTGACGAACCAACCTAGACAGAGCAAAAGCGCCCGACAGCTTCACGTTCACCTGTACCCACAGAACTGGGGGGCGACAGGGCTTGAGCGGCAGAAGTTGGGAAACCGGCGGCCTGCAGGACGGCAGCAAAGGTAGCGATGGTCAACCCTACCAAATGCCTTGACTGATACAAAATTGACCAGCGCGGCCTCATCGTCGTCTTTACACCCTATGATCGTTGGATCAGATGCAGGTTGCTCTGAATTGTCCGGCCCTCACAGAACTAGTCTGCTCAGGACCCAACAACAGACTCGGCAACTGGACTCAAAACGCTCCTGCAGAATCTTGGCCCAAAATTTTTTTTAACTCAGTGTTTAGCAGAGTTATGGGCCTGTAGTCATCTAGGTTCCCCACAACACCCTTGCCTTTTTTCAACAGCGTGATCACACCCCTGGAAAACCGGTCGGGGAGGGACCCCTGCCGGTTGTTGAACATTGGACTTAAAATCAGTACAAAGATGTACGACAGCATCAAGTACTATTCATAGGGCAAACCATCCAGACCAGGCGACTTGCCTCTGCCGACTT